TTAAAGGCCAGCACCACAGTAATGGTTTTGGCCAAGACAGAGGAAACAGCCACAGTGAACACGACTGCAAATGAGGTCTGCTGCAGGATGCAGGTGGCTGTGGTGGGCCGGCCAATGAAGAGCAAGGAGCAGAGGAAGCAGCAGGTGAGGGAGATGAGCATAAGGTAGCTGAGTCCCCGGTTATTGGCTTTGACAATCGGAGTGTCTCGGTGCTTCACAAAAATGCCAAGAACAATAACTGCGAAAACAGTGAGAATCAGGGCTATGCTGGCCAACATCTTTCCCAAGGGGTCTTCAAAAGCCAGAAAAGTCACAGATTTTTGGAGGCAGTGGATTCTGTCAGTGTTGGCGTACTGATGGTCTGGACACTTCACACACTGCTCCATATCTAGTGAGAAATGCAAATTTTCACATACTGTAACTTCTTATTATTCCTCTTATTTAAAGACCAGTCTCCAGAACTCACTGGACTTATTGAACAAAATTGTCTTTCTTTTCTTTTCCTGTTCTTTTCATTCTTTTCTATTCTTTATCTGTCTTTTGCAGTACTGTAGAGTTAGCTTCACTTTCTTATTGAACTACATTTTAATTTTGTTTAAATATTTAATTTGACACTAAGTCTGGTTAAGTTACTACTGTCCAAGATTGGTCAATGTACAGTCTTCATGTATCAGCTTGCCATAGTTTTGAGGTTATTGCTATCCACAAATATGTCTGGCTTCTCCTTTGTTTGTCTAGACGCTAAGTGAAATAATGTTATAGAATAACTCCCAATTCATATTACCCAACAATACTGATAATACTTCTATTTTTCTCCTCATTACCCTAGTATATTTATAAACTATTTTTATATTTTCACAAATCAATAGCAGACCTACCTACCTAAATAAAACTTTCATAAGTTGGATATTAATTGGACAAACATCCATTTATTGGAAAACCAACAAAATTTGCTAAATTTCAAACAAATATATGTGACAAATAGTACATACTATCAAGTATAGTATGTTATTCCACCATATAAAATGTAGTCTCACTGAAGACCATGACATAATTCATGAGCATGGTATGTTAAATCATTTATTTCAGTGTTATAATCATAAATGATTTTGTGTACCTCAATGATTATATCTTTCATACTCAGGGAATTACCACTAGATGTATATTACTTTTAAAATGTAGCGAATGTCTATTTTTAAAATGTCCTCTATTCATCCAGAGGGACTGGATGGGCCAACAAGATTTCAGGTGTCTCCTCCATCCCTCCAGAAGGCCTGGGCATTCTGGTAAGATTGCCAGTGACACAGTGGGGGCCTGATTGTGGTGCACATGATGGAAAGGTGGGGCTAGCAGCCTGGAAAATCCAAAGCATCAGCAACAATATGAGCCAAAGGTTGTCAAGTTAGGTGAATATGTGCACAAAGACATATGGAATAGATGCTGGCGGGTAGGGAGACCTCCCCTTTTGTTTTTTTTCCCTAAAAGGCTGGGGAGAACTCCAGCCACAGAGGACTAATTCCATCCCCAAAATCTGGAGGCCAAGATCAGACTCACACCCAGGACAGTTCCTCCTGCAAACTTGGTTAGAGTACACATTTCTGGGATCTGACTTGGACCTAAGACAACTGTAGACACCAGAGGAATTTTACTACTTTTACCTTTTTCTGTCTGATTGGTTTTCCTCTTTGTATCCAGATGGATTAGTGTTTTGTTTTGGTTTTGTTTTTCCAGTTCTATTTTGTCCTGTTTTGCTTTTCTTTCTTGTTTGTTTGTTGGTATTTTTGTGAGTGTAATTATTTTTGTTTTCTCAATTTTTTCTTTTCTCTTTCTTTCATGACTTGGCTTTCTAAACTTTCTTTTGGTTTAATTCTACTTATCCTCTTCCTCATTTTTCTCAAATACCTTGCTTGATTTTATGATACTTTCCTGAGGGAAAACACTCTCTCTTCTCCTTAAGGTTCATATCAGTATGCCTATCCTTTCTCTTCCAACCCTTCCCTCTTGTGTCCTACAATTATTCAAAACTTGGATGAGCACCCTTTACCCTCTAGCCTTGTTCCTACTATATTTAACCTCATTCACATTTTTATCCTACACTCTATCCCTCTAACGCCCTCCACAACAGGTAAATATTGGATTCTGTTGTATAACTGTAGAATTTGCTTTTATAGTTAAAGGCATCTGGTTAATAGTTACCACAGTTTTTTAGTAGCCAGACTGTGCCTGAGTATAATGTTATTACAAATTGTACTACTTTAACTTGGATGTCATACCTGTTACAATCAGTTTTTCTCTGCTATATGACAACACTGTGACTGCAAGGGGTCATAATCATCACCATAGTCCAGTACAAAGAATGGGCACTGAGTCAAACAGGTAGCAACTTCACACTCTTACTATATTGGGAAGGTAGGTTCTTTGGATAGACATAAAGACCAAGAAACATCTACATCTAGAAAACATCCTGAAGAACAGATGTTTCCTAGGGAAACCTTAATACCAAAGATAAAGCTTAGATAACATAAGAAATCTTCAAATATCAACACAGAAAATAGAATAAAATAGAAAATTAAAAAATGACAAGACAAAGAAGCAAAATGAAACTTTAAATGCCCAGCCCACAGAAGAGAAAAAATAAATGGAAGAGACTATAGAAAAAAATAATCCCTAACATGCAAAAAGAAATGAAGATCAAAATGTAGGCACAGCTCTACAAAATTAAAGTAGACACAGATTAAAAACTAGGGGAGCTCTGGGAAATGATAGAAAATATGAATACCCAGCATAGAAAAGAAATGTAATCATTAACACAGATCCAAACAGAAATCCAGACAAGTAAAACCTCCATTGAAAAGATATGTAACAGATTGAATGAAAGTGAGGATAGAATATGAGATCTACAAGATAGGATTGCAACTAGCAACCAGAAAAAGAAAGGTATCTTAAAAAGAGCAAAAGACCACAAAAAACTCAACAACTACAAGATGAAGCAAAGAAGAACATAGGATTGATTGGAGTCAATGAGAAAGCTGGGGACATCCGAAAGCCATTGAAAACCTCTTCCCAGAAATAATGGCAGAAAAATTCCCAAACATGGATAAAGGATTTGGCATACAAATTAATGAAGCATATTGAACCCCAAGTACCCATGGCCAAAGTCAATTTACATCAAGGCATATAATAATCAAGATTCCAGAAATTCAGTATGAGAACAAAATATTAAAATCAGCTAAAGAAAAGAAATAAATCACCTATAAAGCAAAGTCCATCAGAATCACAGCAGAATTCTCAATACAAACCCTCAAATCAAAGAAAGCTTGGAGTGGAGGGTCTCACTATGTGGTTCAGACTCTCCTTGAGCTCACTTTGTAGCCCAGGTTGTACTTGAACTGGCAATGATCCACCTCCCTCAGCCTCCCAGAGTGCTGGGATTACAGGTGTGCACCACCACACCTGGCATAGGCACCTGTACTCTAATAAAATGAGAAACAGAGAAGAAATAGACAGATTCCTAGACACAACTGAATCGCCAAAACTAAATCAAGAAGGTATAAAAATTCTAAAAAACCCGATATCAGCCAATGAAATGGAAAATGTAATTTAAAAACTACCAACAAAGAAAAGCCCAGGTCCTGATGGATTCACTGTTAAATTCTAAAAGAAATTTAAAGAACTAATGCCACTCTTGTTGAAACTCTTAAAGAAATTGAAAGCAAGGCAACACTTTTAGAATCATCCCTGAAAACAAGTATTATCCTGATTTGAAAATTACCCAACCAAAAAAGAATAATACAGGCCAGTCTCCCTAATGAACATAGGTGCCAAAACCTTCAATAAATATTTGTGAACAGAATGCAACAAATCATCAAGATTATACACTATGACCAAGTAGGATTCATCCCAGGGGTGCAGGAATGGTTCAACACATGCAAATCAATAAATCTAATACACCATATTAACAGAACCAAAAAGAAAAATCACATGATCATCTCAGTGGATGCAGAAAAAGCATTTGACCAAGTGTAATATTCATTTATGATAAGAACCCTACAGAAAATTGGAATAGATGGTTTTTACTTCAATCTGATAAAAGCCCCCTATGACAACACAACAGCTAACATCACACTAAATGGTCAAAAACTGAAAGCTTTCACTCTAAAATGAAAAACAAGACAAGCATGTGCACTATCACCACTGCTATTCAATATAGTTCCAGAAACATAAGCCACCCCAATTAGACAAGAGAAAGAAATAAAAGGAATAAGAATAGGGAAGGAAGAGTTAAATCATCATTATTTGCAAATGACATTATAATATACATAGAAGACCCCAAAACTCCACCAAAAAACTTCTAGATTTAATAACCAAATTCAGCAATGTAGGTGGATACAAGGTCAACACCCAGAAATCGATAGCATTCCTATACACAAGCAAAAAACACACACAGAGAGAGAAATTAGGGAAACCATATCCTTTACAATAGCATAAAAAAATGAAATACTCAGGAATCAATCTAACAAAAGAAGTAAAAGACCTATACATTAAAAGTTACAGTACCCTGAAAAAGGAGATTGAAGAGGATATCAAAAAGTGGAAAGATATCCTTTGCTCATATGTAAGAAGAACCAACATAGTGAAAATGGCCTTACTCCCAAAATTGTTATACAGATTTAATGCAATTCCAATCAAAATATCATTAGTATACCTCACAGAACAATAGAAAATACTCCTAAAATTCCTTTGAAACCAGAAGAGACTTCGAATAGCAAACACAATTCTGAGCAACAAAAGCAAGTCAGAGGCATCACAATCCCTGACTTGAAATTATACTACAAAACTATTGTGACAAAATCAGCATAGTACTGGCAAAGAAACAGACCTGCTGATCAGTAGAACAGAATAAAAAATGCATATGCAACTCCAAACACATTCAGTCACATTATTTTTGACAAAAGGTCCAATTATTTTCACTAGAGGAAAGATAACCTCTTTAATAAATGGTACTGGAAAAAACCTGGGTTTCCACATTTCAAAGACTAAAACTAGACCCATGTCTATCACCATGCACTAAACTAAAGTCAAAATGGATCAAAGATCTAAATATTAAAACAAAAACACAATCTATTGGAAGAGAAGATGTATTGAAATCTTGAAGACATAGGTGTAGGCAGAGACTTCATGAACAAAACCCTAGACTATATGGGTAATACTACAAAGCATCAACAAGTGGGATCCCACCTTATTAAAAAGCTTTTGTACAGCAAAATAAATCACCAATAGAGTGAAAACAAAACCCACAGAGTCGGAAAAATTATAACCTGTTGTTCCTCGGACAAAGAAATTATATCTAGAACATATAAAGAATTGAAAAAAAATCAGGCCCCCCAA